TGGTGGGGGTGGTAGAGGGGTTGGAGGAGGGTCCTGTGGTGCAGATCAGATGGGTACGGCCCCATGAGAAGCAGGTGGAGAGCATGGAGCAGGCAGAGTGGTAGAGTGGGCCCCCAACAAGCACCGGAAGGGCAGAGGGTACCCCGATGAGCAGAAGAGGGGGTGGAGGGGGACCTGGAGCAGAAACGGCGCATATAAACACACCGTTTCTGCTCGTTTTGTCTTTATTTCATAGCAGGTGGCTCTACTAGCCACCTGCAGCATGTATTTATTTTATTACAATATAATACAATTTTTTTTGCATTTTTTTGCTGCAATAAGGCAGGGATGAAGACCAGAGCAGAAACAACGTGTCACAACATGTCGTTTCTACTTCTTTTTGTCTTAACTCATAGTTGGTGGCTGGTAAGAGCCACCCACATCATGTATGTATTTTATTTCAATTTAAAACAATTTCTTGCTATTTTTCTGGTGTACCCCGAGCTTGCCAGATGTCATGGCAGATGGCGGCGAGACCATTACAACAGATTTGTCATAGTTATTACAGCATATTCTAAAAATAGCTACAGGCCCTGCCAAAAGGGCCACGTCATCCAAACCCACCTGGCCCAATCCATCCATTCCTGCCCCCCTACGATGGGGGAAACGGTGCACAACAATGAGGAAACATGTTTCCTCATCGTTGGTGCTTTTTCCCTGTCGAAAACGGTGGTGGGCATGCCGAAAATGATGAGGAACAATGCTCGAGCATTGTTTCCTGCATTGTTTGCTTGTGTTGACAGGCCTTGCCCACAGCCACAAGCCCCAGCACACCCAGCAAGGCCCTCTCTGTAGGTGGACTGTAAAACCACAGTCCTGACATATAAGCATACCTTGTAAAAATACAGTGTCTGATATAGATTTCTAGCAGACATGGCTATGAACGTCGACTTCGAGTTGACGTTCGTTTTCTGCCCATTTTGTGCCCCTCCCCTTCAATAGGGATGTGGGCAGGGCACCAACGTGCTCTTGAGCACCCTGAACCAACACTTTCTGCCCTTCCGTCCTGGATGAGCAAGGGAGGGTAAGGGCAAGGCCTCGGATGAGTGCATGAACGAGGAAGGTGGAAGGTGATACGGGTGGCACCATGGCCAGGGCGACCACAATGGTGGCAAATGAACAAACAGCAGCACTTTTCACCTGCCACTGCCATCTGCCTCACTCAGTGTTGTCACCCGCCCGTCCATCCCACTACCAAGCGCCTCCTGCACCCTCGCACCCTCGCCCACCTTACCACCTCACCACACTCCCCATCCCTCTCATACAGCACCACTCCACACCAATCAGGCCGCGGGTTACAACCACAAGAAGCAGGATGAGGATGAGCAGCAGGGCCTAACCCTGAACGCGAACACCACCACCAGCATTTGGGCGGGTGAGCGATCCAGCAACCATGGCAAATGACAATGACGGCACAGAAGACAAGCTACAACACAAACACGACTGCGAGGGGTGGGACCAAGGGTGGGACCGGCAATGTGAGCAAGGTGAAGACAAGCCTGACTGAGGAGAGGACGACGATTGGGTGGATGACGACATGCAGGTGGACGACAAGCACGAGCGGGTAGAAGACGGGCAGGGGTGGGCGGTTGGTGACGGGAGTCAATCTTGTCTCCCTATCCACCTACTGCTTGGCTCTTGCCTTGCCCTCTCCATCTCCAATAGGTGACTACAGGGCGACTACAGGATGAACAGGACAGAGAGACAGTGCCGATGTAAAGATGAGCACAGCAGGCAGGCATGGACGAGGCCGCAGGACAACAGTGGCCCTGTGGACATGACAGCGGCAGCAACATGGGGCCAACACGAACACGACAGCACCGATGACCGGGCGACCACCATGACCAGGTGGGAACGACGACAGGGTAGTATGGCGACTAGGTGAACACACCAGCAGGATGAGCACCACCTCGTGCACAACGAGGACAGTCTGCAGGGCATCACGACGATCTCAGTATGACAGTGACTGGGCCATGACAACAACAACCATGTGATGGCTTGAGGGCGGCCCTGCTGACCACGATGACCACAGCATGAGCGCGAGCGGGCATGGCACAAGGGTAAGCACGAGCAACCCGGCGCAAGGGCGACGACCACGACCCCACCCAACCTGCAGAAACGGTGCCATCATAGGGCAATCGTTCATGCTCGTTTAGCTCCTGTCTCATAGTAGGTGGCTAGTAGAACCACCATCTCTCATGTATTTATTTTATTCCAATTTTATGTGATTTTTTTGCGCTTTTCTGGTGGGCCATTGAGTGGCCCAAGGTCACCGGACAATGTAGTCTAAAAATAGCACAACATCCAAACACTCCCTCACCCATCCACCCCCTCCTGCCCTCCCTGAGGTGCGCAAACACCTGAAATGGATAAGAAGACATCCCAACATTATATTCCCAAAAAATAGGGCTGCCTGCTGTCCCCAACAACGAGCTAGAGGCCAGTTACATTGCTGGGCATCTCGGAGAGGCATTCTCCTGTGTCATACCTGATAAGGAAGCTTTTCTGTGCCCTGTCCCGCCCCCCAACAATGATGAGCACCCTATTCAATGTCCCTGAGCATTGTTTGGTCATTGTTTAGTGTCTCCACAGCCTCAGCAGACAGTTCTGAGCCCCTACGGTGTCCGAGAACCACAAGCCTCGCTCGACATTTTGATTTCGGCTCTGGCTCACTCATGTAATGTGTGATCCCTGGCGGCCTGACATTTACCAGCCCCTCCTTGGCATTGTCATGGCCTCGGAGGTCGTTGTACTCCCCCACGTATCCCTATAGGACTCCAGTGGACTCCAGTGGAGTCTGGTAGAAATCTATTAGCAGGAACACCAGCCAAAAGTGCCTACTGGACTCCAGTGGAGTTCACTGGAGTCCACTGGAGTCACCACCCAAAGTCTACTGGAGTTCACTGGAGTCTACTGGAGTGGAGTGTCCATCTTCCACTGGACTTCTACAGGACTTCAGTGGAGTCCAGTGAACAATGCAGAGAGATGCGATAGTCATAGAAGAGAAATGTGACTGATGCCAAGGTTGATGGCCAGTCATGTGACTTTTTATTTGCCTATTCTTCAGGGTCAGCTTCTGAAACTTTGATGTTATGGCCTCAAATAGAAACAATTAATAAATGTATGATTAATAGGTCCAGACTTGGCATTGATGAAAAGTAATAAAGCTATCAAGTTTGCTGATAACATCAATATCAGAGCGACGCTTCTTGATTTTGAACCATCACCATCTGGCCATGGGAATTCATTGCCCCCACCATGGCCACGCTCTACACTACCGAACTCCTCTCATTAATCGGCATCGTCCTCCATCAGGCCCCACTCATTGCCCGATTCCTTATCTATTCATTAAATCAACACCTTTTCTTATTTATCGGAGAAGATCGCGACTTCAGTGTGGTTGTATCCCAATCGCTTTGTTGGAGGCCTGAAGACCTTGTTTACGACAACCTCAAAGCGCAACTGATGGCCCTACTTGACAGGCAGCCCGTGTACCGTCTTGCTCTGCTTCGCGCAGACCTTTCGGGGGCGCAACCTAGTCATGGAAGGCAACCCATGGAGGGAGGAGGCTAGTCTCCGATCATCAGCCGTGTTGCCTATGATCTGGCTACACCCCTTGGGGAGAAACACTAGATATTCGACCGCCTTCGCATGGTAGGGGGATGCTACAGGATGCGTGCCTTAGGGTTTGGGAAATGGGGGAGGAAAGCAGGTGGGGTTGTATCAGAGGGCGGAAGGCATAGTGGAAGGCAGAGTCACTCATTTCAACATTTCACTTCCAAACCATCCAATCTCGTTAGGGGTACTTAGCACCTACATGTGCTGCCCCCGTCAATGGCGTTGGCCTGGCACACCAACCATGCAGGCGACTGACGGCTTGGAAGCTTTGGCGCCCAATGCTGGGAAGGACTAACACCATGAAGCCCTTGATTGTTTAGATTCGGCGAACTGCAAGGAAACTGGTCAGCTCTCACCAACTGTCTCAACAGCTGGAAGCTTCGGCGCCCAATGGGGCTTCAACCAAAGGCGGCGGGTCGAGGGATGGGATGATGAGGAGGGTCGTTTAGGTGTAGCCTACCTCCAAGGGACTGTGATCGAACACCCTATTTTTTGTGTATTTGGAGTACGTCTAAAATACACCCTACGTGGAAGACTTCAAAAAAAAAAAAAAAAACATCAATATCAGAGTCACATGTGACAAATTGGATTTTGCTAAAATGTGCACTATCTACACAGAGACTAGGGGTGCTAACAATGTGAAATATGCAGGTCACATGACTGTGAGAAATTTCCTTTTTAGAAAAAAAAAATTGCAATTAACAATGATCCTGAATCCACTTGAGTGATGGTATTTGGCTCTATTAATGACAAGATATAAGCCAAATAATGCCAAAATTTGCAAAAGTAATCTACTTTTTCAGTATTTTGCATTTTTCTTGCCAAGCAGAGCAGCTAATGACATCAAATAACTTGATTCAGGGTCGGCCAAAGGTGCTCTACAAATTCTGATGTTTTTTTCTAAAAAAAATGATTGTTAAGCATCTTGTTACATATTCTATATGCTGGACTTAGAGAATGGTCCAACAGACTATTATCTATTCTGATGTGTAATAGGTACTGGTTAGTAGTCCATTTTGATACATATACTGGAGTCCAGTGGAACTGGGTAAGACTCCAGTATCACACTCCAGTAGAGTCCAGTATACTTTCTTACTGGAGTCCACTGAACTCCAGTATAATTCCACTGGACTCCACTGGACTCCAGTGCATAATATGCCAACTCCACTGGAGTCCAGTGGAGTCCTATAGCACTCTGTGGGGGACCACAAAGTACTGACTGCGTGTGTTGCCAGCTTCTTCAGCATGAGATGGACAGGGATGAGACCGGCTAAAGCCTCAAGACCGCCTGTGGGGGAGGTGCAGAATGCGCCTGTAATCCAAAGAGCAGCTTTCTGCTGCATCTATTTGAGCTGGTTCATGGTGCCCTTGTTACAGGCACCATCAAAATACCAGAGACAAGAACTGTACGTGGCAATAGGAACCATGCAAGATCTATAGAGGAGGCGCCGCTGTTTAGGTGAGAGACCTCTAGTGGAGTTCCCGAGCATGCGCATGGCTTGCACAGTGGTAAATGCCTTGGTGGCATAGTAGCGAACGTGCTCATGGAAGGTGAGCCCGTGGTCAAAGTAGAAGCCCAGGTACCTCCAATAGGTCTTGGGCTTCAAAGGTGTAGCGCCTGTGTGTGGGGCATATGCCAGATCAAGCAAAGGATTGTAGGCATCTCATCGACGCGAAAAATGAAACAGCTCAGTCTTGTCATGTTCAAGGACAAGTGCGAAAGCAACAAAGAGTAGGTAGATAATTTTGTAGGCCTTACGCAGGCCCACATTATTATCATCAAGTTGTTTGAACTGGGCCAGGATGGTCCTGTCATCCATGAAGGATAGCAGCATCGTGTTGAACCGCACTGCTTTGATATAGAATAGCTTCATTACTGGAGCAATGAAAAGCCCTGAAACAACAGGCGAGAGAGCTGAGCCCTGCCTGACACCCACATCCGCAGACTGTGAGCCAGATTGGAAGGTGTTCCAACAGTAAACTGTGGAGCGCCCAACTAAGTAAGAAGCAAAGAAATCCACCAAGATTGGGGAGAAACCTTGCTTGTGTAGAACAGCCATGAACATTTCATGGTTGATAGAAGGGAAGAACTGTGTGATGTCAAAAGCCAGTGCGCTAGTCTGGAGACCCTTAACCCACCCCGCTCACACGAGATGAGTCAGAATCAATCCAGCATCCTCAGTCGACCTCTGGCGGATACTGCCAAGCTGGTTTGGATGAAAGATATCATGTTTGACGGCGTCAAACTGTATCCTGTTGGCAATCATCTTCTTGATAAGTTTACCAAAAGTGATGAGGAGGACAATAGGCCTGAAAGCCTTCGGAACTGCATAGGAGGGCTTGTTCGGCTTTGGGACGATAACTGATAGCAACTCCTTAAACATACCTGGCCAATGCCCAACCCAGAGGCAAGCGTTGGCCAACATGATGAAGAGCGCAAGGACGTGCTTGTCCTTGAGCAACTCCTTTAGGTGGACCCATGTAACATGGTCCGGTCCTGGTGCAGAGGAGTTAGAGCACCCCTTAAGGGCACTCAACAACTCATGCTCCAAAAAGTCAGCCCACTCACAGACCGGCTCATCAGGAAGCTCGTCTAAGACTGAAGCGTCATACTCACGATCCAAGGCCGAGTTGTATGTGCCATGAAGGGTGTCCCAGAGGTCATCCATATCATGGCAAGGCTGGTCGCCATTGCGAATAGCCTCACAGGGTGGTAGCTTGCACTGTTTGACCCATTCCATCAGGTCCCACGGGCGCTTGCGAGAGGTAGCGATTTCTGCAATTTTTTTTTTTTGATCAACAATTTATATAGCGGTGCTTGATGGCAGCCTGCTCGCTATCTACAGAACATATACGCTATGCAACCCAGGTACTAGGTTAACTACTGAAAGACGATCGCCCCCCCAACCAAGACCCTTTGGGCTCAAACACCTAAACTCCCCAGAGGGCAACCCACCTTGCAAAAACAGTGCATCGGGATAAGGGGAGGAGACCATTGAGGTCCTGCTACACCCCATAGTCATCGATCGCTGTTTGGGGGCCACGCAGCGCAATGAAAATAAGAATCGCACCACCCAGGAGGTGGCAGGGTGTCTTGAGGCTGACAAGCCAAAGATGCGCCTGCCCGAAACCAGACGCAGAAAGTTAGCAGTGCTGCAATCAACCAAAAAAGGTCAACCGCCTGCACGAAAGAGTTGTCACGGGTGCAGGTCTCTGAACCCAAAGGCTCGAGGGTGTCAATTCACCGATAAATCCCCCAAAAGGAGGAATAACCCCACCCACAGTGATTATCTGACACCCAAGGGGTCCCAGTTGAAGCCAAACACCGTAGGGTTGTGCTTCAGAAACGATGCAATATCCCCGAGAAAACAGGGATAGTGTACAGAATATCTATCATGGCAGTGAAAGAGGACGTGCTGGTGAGACTGCAAAGCAGCCCCACAAATGCAGCCATGAGGCTCATTGATCTTGAAGCGACAATAATACGCTCCAATGGGCACATGGCCAATTATGCACCAGCAAACACGAGTGAACTCAGTGATACTGTGTCCGAATGTTGAAAGCCAAGGTCCCCCATTGAGGTACGATAGCAATTTCTGCGATGCGTTCATCAAAGAAGTCACATTTGGCGTCCTTACACACTTTCTTGAACTTGTTGTAATCAGCCAGCAAATGGCTCAGCTGATATACTCCGAATGTTTCCGAGCACTCGTCCATCCTTATCTTTGTGTCTTGGCATGCCTGTTATGATTAGAAATAATGATGCAACTGAACTCTGTATTACCAAAGGTCAAGAAGGCTTTGTAGCTGGCTGGCAAGCAGAGAAAGGACCTCATGGCAAGCAAGTTCTTGATACACTTTTTGTAAAATTGGATAAACCTCCAAGCACTAACCAACTTCCAGGACTTCCTGAAAATGTAGTACCATTAATGAGGGCTACTAAAACTATTCCTTGTAAATTCCCAAGTGATATTATTGAGAGTATTGAGCGTCAGCAAGTACAAGTTTTGCCCAACTTTGCAATGACTGACTATGCAAGTCAAGGAAAAACTCAACCATATAATGTTGTTCATCTTGGAAGCTGCTATTCACACATGTCATACTACACCTGTCTGTCAAGGAGTGCTACTGCTGCTGGAACTATCATTCTTCAAGGATTTATGCCCAAGTTTATTACTCAAGGTTGTTCAGGATATCTCAGACAGGAATTCCGTGAGCACGAAGTACTTGATGAAGTGACTAGACTCAGATATGAAGGTCTTCTTCTGCCAGCTTATATTCAAGGCTATACTCACAATACAATTATTAGACAATTCCAAAGATGGAAAGGAGCTAACTATGTTCCAGATAAAGTTGATTCAGCTCTTCAATGGTCTGATCAGGATCCTCTTGATATGCCAGTTGTAACTGATAGTCCTTGGACTTTAATTGACAAGTCAACAAAATTAAAGTTGCTTCAGACAATTCCTGTAACTAATTTTGTACCTGCTAAAGGGAGTACTGCTTTGAAGCGTAAAGCCAGTGAGAGTAATATTTCTAAGCCAAAGAAATCCAGACAAATTATTGAAGAAAATAGCAACTCACCTCAAGGATGTTAGAATTAGTGAGAAATCACTTCATGGACTCTAAATGGACACTTCATGGACATTGTAGATAGATCTTATTTCGTTAATATCTCGTCACACACATTGATTCTCATTGTGTTTGTTTCATAGTTAATCTCGTCTCGTCGTCCTGAACTTGTACATACTTGTTTTGTCTCTGTAGCTTAAGTAGATACTTCGTTAGACTTGTTTCTTGCTCTAGGCATGGTTTCTGGATGTCCGCCCATGCTTGGAGGTGCCAGTGCACAACTCAACCAAACAGGTCAGATTTCCTACCATGTCCTGGAAGCAGGTACACTACAATTGAACTGTTGGCTTAAACTTGCAATACACTTGATTATTCACCTTATCATTGGTTACTGCGCTTATTGTGATTGTTGTGTGATCAGTGTATCACTATCCACTTTGTTGCATAAGTTTAACAGGTTATGGGCCCCAGCTTCTAACTTGTGCAAGTGCTGATTGATACCTGTGTTTGCTTGTTACTTGAAATTGTTGGCTTGCTGTTTAACAGCATTTGAAACTTGTTGAAAACTCATCAAACTTGTTTGGAATTGTTTGGAATTGCAAAGATGTCTTCAGACACTTTGGCAAAAATCAAGCCCTTGTCTAAATCAAACTACAACCAGTGGTGTAGGGAGATGAAAGCATGGCTGATGTGAAATGGATTGTGGAGATTGGTTAGTGGAAAGGAAGTCAGGCCTACAGAGGCATCATTGGCAGACACTTGGGATCAGAAAGCAGAGAAAGCTGCAGGAGAAATCTATCTCCTTGTTGAGGAAGAGCAGAGGGTACATTTCTGAGGGCATGAAGAGGATCCAGTAAAGATGTGGAAATCTTTGGAAACTGCACACACTACAAAGCGGCCTGGTGCTAGGTTCAATGCCTATGAAGCACTGTTCAACATATCACTTGGGAGTGGGGAATCACTGTTGGATCTGGGCACACGAGTTGAGAGGGCAATGCAGAATATCCAAAATCTGTGCCCAAAAGAGTTCACAATTCAGAACTTGGATGAAGAATTGTGCGGAACTCAACATCATTGCATGTGCAGTGCGCCTTGCTGTCAAGCAAGCAAATTGCCAACATATCATGGTCCTTACGGACTCTATGGGCTCAGCCCACAGAGCAGTGGACCCCTCTGTGCACTCTGGTCAGGCTTTTAGCCTGTCAGTCTGTCGCGCCCTCCAAGAGTGGTTTGAGGCAGATGATCTCCACCGCATCACCTTTGTCTACATTCCATCTGCTTTGCGGTAGGACATTCATAGTGAGGCACACAAGTACGTCACCGAACTCAAAGTCAGGGTGGCACTTGTAACAGCCATAATTATATATCAATAATAGCCTACTGGCAATTCTCGTTCATAAATCATAGCTGCCAGTAGGCAGCCAGGCCTTTTTCTATGTGCTGCTGGGTTTGCCGGGGCTCGGGACTGTCTGCCGAGGCTGTGGGGACACTAAACAATGGCCAAACAACATGCAGGGTGCTCGTCATCGTTGGGGGGTGGGACAGGGGGTGGGAAACCTTCTGAATTGGGTACAATGCAGGAGATGGCCTCCCCAAGATGCCCAGTGATGTAAACGGCCTCTAGCTCGCCATTGGGGACAGCAGGCAGCCCCATTTTTTGGTAATATAATGTTGGGATCTACTCTTACCCATTTCAGGGGTTTGCACACCTTACGGAGGGCAGGACAGGGTGGATGGGCAGTTGGGTGTTTGGATGACATTCTATTTTTAGACTACGTCATCCAGCAACCTAGGGCACACTCAAAACCACACCGGAAAAGCGTGAAAAATCATATAAATTCATAATAAAATAATTACATGGTAGAGGGTGGTTCTACTACCACCCTCTATGGGACAGAAGTCATATGAGCAGAAACAGCGCATGTATGGAACACCGTTTCTGCTCTGGGGGGAAGGGGATTGGGGGTTGGGTGCAGTTGTGGTCGTTGCCTGTGCACAGCATTGCTCATGCTGCGATCGTTGTCATGGTGTGGTCGTCCTTGCGCCGTTGCATGGTTGTTGTCGTCGGGGAGTGGTCGTTGTGCTGAGGTTGTCGTCATGCCCTGCAGACCATCCTTGTTGTGCAGGAGGTCAGTGTGTCCACCAGTCCCCATGCTCCCTTGGTCATGTTCTCTAGCCATCGTTCTCGCCTGGTGGTGGTGGTCGTCTGGCCGTTGGTGTTGTCGTGTTCATGTTGGCCTCTTGTTGGCATCATCGTCGTGTTCATGGTGCCGCTGTTTTCGTCATTGCCTGGCTGCTGTGCTCATATTCTGGTCGGCATCACATCGCCGTCCTGGTTGTCTGTAATTGCCCACAGGAGAAGGAGAGGGAAAGGCAAGAGACGAGCAGTGGGTGGATGGGGGGACGAGGCTGACCCCCCATCCCAACCCCCCTCATGCCTATCATTGTCCGCCTGCTTGTCCTTGTCTGCCCGTCCTCAACCCACCTGTCTTTGTCCTCCCTTGCTTGTTGTCCTCCACCTGCTCGTGCCTGGCAAGAGAGTGGGGGACGCCAGATGGGACGGGTTAAAGAGGCATCTGTGCCCCGCCCACATCCCTATGAAAGGGGAGGGGCTCAAGAGGCGGACGTGGGTGTCTGCAAAGTGGTGGATAAGGGGAGTAACGGGGTGGGCAAGAACGAGGCAAGGGGTGAGGGCGAGGAAAGTGACAGCACCATTCCTTTGCTCACTTGCCGCCATTCTGTCGGTCGCTGTCATTGCCATTATGGTCGTGATGGTCGTGGTGTTGTCCGAGCTCGCTTTTCCATCGCCATTGCTGGTGCACACCCATCCTCCCACAAGCTCCGCCGTCCTCTCCCACACCCTCCCCTATGCATCCTCAGGCTGCTTGCGCCGGCGTTCATTTGGTATGTGTTCATGGTTTGTGGTTCGTGCATTGAGGTGGTGAGGTGGGCAAGAGAGCGAGGGAGTGTGGGAGGTGCTGGGTAGTGGGATGCAGCCATGTAAGCTAGAAAAATATAGAATACAAGGCAATTTCCTAACTATGAATCTAAGCCCTGGAGGGCAATATGCTACCTTCTGCTTTGGGAAGGCTCTCCTAATAAGAGGGAGGGGTTGCCGGGTGCCTGGCATCTGCAAGGGTGATGAGGAGGGGGTAAATAAGTTAGTAAGCACTTCGGGTTGC